TAAATAACCTTTCAAAGTTTCTTATAATAAATTTTGCTACTATAATGTCACAATGTTCAGTCAGTAATGTTCCAAAAGTAATGGCGATAATTTCCTATTGGTCATTTACTTGTTTCGCTTAATTTGATTGGTGCAAATAAATAAGTGAGATGAGGTTTCAAGGCGATAAGCCGTACACAAACCACTGGATTAAAGTGAAATAAAAAGTGAACTATTCGTGGATATATATTTTGTTCAACCATGTATGTACTTATGTATGTTAGGTTGGGTCAACGGTTACAAAATAAAGCCAATAGAGTAAATTAACTAAAATGAAATTGGATAATATAATAAAAACTATTACACAAACAAAAAATTAATAAACAAATAAAAGATAAAACAAGATAAAATAAGTAAATAAATGAAAAATAAAATGAAAGGAAATGTAATGAAATCAAGTAAAATAAATTAAAATAAATAAAGAATAAGAGTAAAAAAATATTTAAAAATAAAACATAAGAAAATATAAAACAGACATATAACCAAATGGGATAAAATTAAAAGAAAGGTAAAAAATAAAATAAAAAAAAAAATTAAAAATTTCATAAATGAAAATTAAACATATAATAATAAAATAAAAAAAGTTAAACAAAACACGCAAAATCATCAATAAAAGAAAATAAAGTAATTAAAACTATATTAAAAAGGGGGAAATTACAATAAAATAGAACAACATAAAATAAATTTAAAAAACTTAGATTAAATTTATTAAAAATATAAAAAAAACAAATCGAAATAAAATAAAATAAAAATATAAATTAAAACGAAATGAAATAAAACAAATGCAAATAAATAAACAAAAATATAATTGAATAAAATTAAACAAAATAAAATAGTGTAAATTTAAGTAAAATAAAAAAAAATAATTAAGATAAAGTGAAAAATTAAAACAAAATGAATAAAATTAATATATAAAATACTTTAAGATAAATTAAATTAAAATAAAATAAAGCCAAATAAGATAAAATAAAGAAATGAAATATAATAAAAAAACAAAATAAATAATAATAAAAATAGTATAAAAGAAATTAATGAAAATCCTTCAAAATAAAAATTTAAATTGAATTAATAAAAATCACATAAATGACAATAAATGTAATTAAGCTCAAATACAATGAAATTAGATAAAATAAAATTCAGTAAATTAAAAAAGTTAAACAAACAGTGAAATAAAATAAATAAATTTAAGTGGTTTAATACAAATCAAAATGAAATGAAATAAAAGCAAATAAACAAAAAAAAAAAAATATTAAAATAAATTTAATCAAATTAATTTAGATAAAGTAAAAATAAAATGAAGAAAAAAGGAATAAAATAAAATTTTGAGACCAAAACAAATTTAAAAAAAATAAAATATGTACAAAAAGTAAAAAGAAATAAAAAATAAATTAAAATAAAATACAACGAAATAACATAATATAAAATAAATTGCGATTAAATTAAATAAAACTAAAATTAAGGGAAATAAGAAAAAGTTAAATAATTAAAAATATAATAAAATAATCAAAAATAAAAAACCATTATGTTAAAGAAAATAAAATAAAAAATACAAAATGAATAAAAAATTTAATAAATTAAATTAAGTTCAAATACAACGAAATAATTTAAATTAAATAAAACGAAATGAAATAAAATAAGAATAAAACAAAATAAAATAAAAATAAAATAAACAAAAAACAAAATAAAATAAAACATAAAATAACAACGAAAAATTAAATAAACTAAAAATATTAAATTGAATAAGTACGATGAAATTAGAAATAATAAAAGGAAATGAAAATAAAAAAATTGAATGAAATAATCGAAATAAAAATACAATAATCCGAAAGAAAAATCATAAATTGAAAAAAAAATAAAATAAAAAAATGAGAATAAAAAATTAAACACACTCAAATAATTAAATAAAATTAAAGCAAAATAATATAAATTGAAAAAATGGAATAGTGAAAAAAATGAAAGTGAAATTAAATAAAAGAACTTCTTTAAATTAAATTTAAATAAAATAAAAGTAAAATAATCGAAATAAAATAATTTTGCAATAATAAAAACTCCAACAAATATGTGCATCATTAATCATTTTAACGGAATAAATTACAAGTACATTTTGTCAGTGATTTTATTATGAAACTCATTTTTTTTTTCATACACACCATGTAATTTATGCCGCTATTTCCCTTTGCAAAACATTTGTGCGAATAAATCGAAATAAATTGCGCTCAAGGTCCATAGCGACACTTCAACCAAGTAATTGTCACGCAAATGTGCCGCATAACAGATATACACACATATTATGTGCATGAAAGATAGGCGACGATGAGATACAAAAGTAAAGCAAAGGCCTCGAGGCATTGAAAAAAAAAATGTAAATTGAAATAGAAATGGGAATTAAAATAATGATGGCAGATGGAAGCCACTTAATAAGTGAGAAGTACATAAATACATACATGCATACATATATGTAGAAAGAAATTTCAGTCGTGATTCAAGTTTACTGAGCCACAAATACAATAAAATACGCGCATAGAGAGGAAACAAAAGATATCAAAATATATACATATATGTACATATGTGTGAAAATCTGGTTGTTATTGCTGTTTGCTATCATCAAAACGTGGATTCATTAAAGAAAATTAGAAACTCGTTATATTTTCAATTGCGGTAGGACACTGTTTATCATTAAAATGGTAATAAAATAAAGCTGACAAACTGATTTTCCAATGGGCTCATAAATTCCTTATGTATGTAATTACATATTTATGTACATATGTATATGTATGTGTACATAATATGACAGTGCAATAAATGAAACCAAATTGGTAGCTTCATTAGTTGCAATTATATTTATAGAACTTTTGTGTGGAATTCAAGCTCAGTGAGCGTTGAAGGGTGTCTCCAAGTGGCCTCATTCACGAGAGCGTGGATTTGTAAAAATAAAAATTATTATGGGTAACTATATATGCCCAAATACGGATAACACGATGCGACTGAGTGCACTTTACAATAGCTACCACAACAGCAACGGCAACAACAACTTTACAGTAACTCTATAGCGTTTTGCTGACGCTGAATTGAATTTTATATAACCGCCGGCAATAAACGCCGGATGAAGCAATAAAAGGTCATTTTCGGGAAACGTGTCAATGGAATAAAGTGCGTAAATGCGTAAAATGCCTTCCGGAGGTTGACTAATATCACCTCCGGGACAGACGTACATATACATATATGTACATATGTATGTATGCATATGAAAACATAAAAGTGATGAAAATATACAACGTACATACATACATATGTACATATAATATATAAATATGTATATTTTAGTGACTACACGCAAGCAAACTTATTGGAATCATCGCCATCCCCTTTGTACGTATGTATGTATGTATGTATGTATGTGCAGGCAAAATGAAAGCATTTCATTTATGAGGAAAATCGCCGGCGGTCGATGTATGTACATATGTACATACAAATGAAATTCATTTTCCCCAAAAACCAACTGCTATTATTCCCTCATCAATATCAAAAGTGACGACGTGTTTTGTTTGAAAATTTAAATGTAATTTTTGTAAATACTAAAAGAACTGAATTGAAGGGTACGGAAAGAACTCCACCCACACGATGAAGGGAAAAGAATAAAAATAAAAACGGGCGTATGAGCCATAAAGAATGCGACCACAAGGGAACGAGTGCAAAGTTGGAACTTGTAGATGCAAAAAGAATTTATTTTTGTATGCACAGAAGAAGGCATATGGGCATATACATATATATACATATATGCATGTATGTATGTGTATTGATTTATTTAATTCGAGAGCGTAACAACACCACAAAAAGTTTCAATAATTGTAGCGTCGTGGCGTAAGTCCCATAAAATTTCAAAACTACAAGAGAAGCAACAAAAATGCAGGCGCTGCTGCAAGCCCAGTATCGGCTCTGGGTTGACAATTACTTAAGTAATGCTAATGTTTGTATGATTGAGGACCCGCAAGAAAGGAGATATTTTCCAAGTGTCTAATAAATTATACAATTAATGAATTATTTAAGAGTAGGTAGTACAACAAAAACACAAGAAAAATCAATGGAGAGTCTTATTAAGATTTATGCGTAATAGGGATGCAAGAGTTAATTAACGCATTTTTACGTTTTTGAGGTTTGTATGTCTATTGATATTAAACTATTTTTTTAAATTAGTAATAATTTATTGGAATTAAAGAAAAATTATAGTATTAATTTAAAAAAGTAAATATTTCCTAAACAAAAAGCGAATATTTGAAAACATGACTAACCACTCACTCCTTAGAATTTATAAAAGTATGAAGACTGACAATTGTTTAACAGTTTCTCCGATGTATAAAATATATACATACATACAATTGTCTGCATCGACTTTATAAATATTGTGCTTAGCATTTGCATCATATAATCTATTGAGAGGCACCCACGCGTAATTTAAATGTCTCTACATATTTATTTACTTATACTCGTAGCATACTTTAGTGTCAGCCAGCCAGCCCGCCAGCCCGCCAGTCAGCTAGGCAAGCGACACCGGCCCAAAACAGTGGTGGTGGCAATTCCTGCCGGCAAACAAACATATTTATTTAGCTGCCTGTGAATAGAAGACAGCAAAAAATCCACCCTATTTCAAAATGAAAACCTAGACACAATATGCCACCCGCATAAAAGCTACATACATACATAAAAAATCCAGCATTTAACTAACCATATAGGGAAGAGAGAAAGTCGCAAATATAAAATAGAAAGTATAAAAGACAATGCGACAGAAGACAAAAGGAATTATACAGTATGCTTTGTATGTAAATAAGTATGTATTGCACATTTATAGCTTCCACGAAAAAAAAAATAATAATAAAGAAATAAATGCGGCTACATTATTTTATGTATGTAAATATCTACTAAACGTTTGTATACACAGAGTCAGACCGACAAAGCATACTCACCATTATGTTCTGTGAAAATATTCATTCCGATGGCATTGCAACGACTGTGATTGTCCTTCGATGTATGTCCAATGTTACTACCCGAAGCGTTTGTTGAACGATGCGAACTACCGCCCACCACAGCTGGTGTTACGGAGGATTTGATGCGCGAGCCACGCAATGTGGAACCAGCTGCAAGTGCATTTACGCTACCAACACTAATGCCATGAGACGACGACAAGCCGACTGGGCTGCCGCTACTTGGCACACCAATACAACTGGCGGTGCCGCCATGGCCACCGCCACTTGAATGTGAACTACGCTCCTTACCCTGTTGTGCGCCCATAGTGGCTTTTCCGTTACTATATTCAGAGAAAAATAGTCAGATTTTGTCGCTTTAAGCTTGAATCTGAATTTGATTTGTAAGTAATCAAACTCTTAAGTTTTTTTTTTTTTAATTTTGTTATCAATGAATGAATTAATTGTAACTTAAGGTTTTACACGATTTTGTGGGCGTGTTCACTAAACCAAATGGAAGTAATTTCCGAGCCCGAATTGAGAGGGTATTCGTCCGGTTTATAGCGTACTGACCGCACACGGAAGTGCATCAAATATTTCCTCTGCACGTATTATACTTCCGTCTTATAGATCGGTCGTTATGTACTTTTATATAATATATATCATTTTTATTTTATTATACAATAAACCCTTTAAAATAAGGATTTCTTATACATTTCGATTACACACTCACTTTCCACTACTCTATATGCTTTTTGTATTTTACCTTTCCTACGTTGCTTCGCTCTTTTGTAGTAGACATAAAATACCTACAAAAGGGAAGTTGCAATTAATATTTTTTCTCTACTTTGCGCAACTCCTCGTTTATCGGCGCAAGTATTTATTTTTATTTTTTAAAGATAAGCACTCTTGATTAGAAATTTTTAACTTTGAACATATGTATTTTTGTTTGTTTTCACTATACTGTAATATTTGTATTGGGAACGCTGTTTTCCATTATCGGCGGCGACACATATACTGGAAAAACACGCCCTGCGTGAATGCAAGTGCAACTTGTCTGCACCCAACTTCTACTCTGTTACTTCAAGTTTTTTTGGGAAGTACCAAGATTCTGACTTTAGTATTTAGTAAAGACAACAATGCATTGGGTAATTTTTTCTTAATTTGTATGTTTGACGAACTCTTCTTTTAACAGACGATTTCATATTTCGTTTGCCTTTTCAAAACTCCATTAACTTATTTGTATACCACTTTTTTAAATTTCATACATTTCCAAAACGGCACGCACTTGCACTTGAATTTACTAGCGACTACGATGTGTGGGAGCCGATCCCACACAATCCGAAAAAGGGATTTATATTGAAGCAAATTACGCTATTTTATAAAGTCATAAACTTTTTCAAACCGATAACATTTAATTCAATTTTTGCACTCAAATATGCAGAGACAAAAAATTCGTCTGCATCGATTCGTCTTTCTTCGTCGTTTGAGATAGTTTTCCAATTTCATTTTGTCCAATTCTTTCGTTTCTTAGTGCATTCTAAAATGCAATTGTAGAGCTATCTCACTCTTTAACGAGAATGTCAGTAAAAGGAAAACAAAATCATCTCATGGTTGTATTAAATATTACGAAATATTCTTCAGAAAACCAATCAAAAATGATTCTTCTGAATATTATATCCCACATCTATAATTGATGGTATTAAGACGGCTATGTAAATCTGCTCTACAAAAATTCGAATTTCCAACAAAAATTCCAACGGAAGAGTTACTGCCCCATTTAAAAACAGAATTTAATCTCATTCGTGCCTTGCAACTTTAAACAAAACTCTCAGATAAATATTTTATAGAAGTTCTATGTTGACTTCAATCAGCTGAAAACATTAATTAATTTCCCTTTTGAACGAGGAGTATAAGTTTACTATCCTAACTCATTTCAACAATTAAAGTTGAAGTATCTGTTAATGAGCAATAGAGCAGTTAGCGAGTATTCAGCAAGTACTGAGCTGTTTGGATTACTTGCTTATTCGGTTTTTTTTTCACTTATAACACTCATCACTCGACCACATGCATTCAATTCCTACTTGAGCTGGCAACTTGAATGGCAAATGTCAAATAAAATAAACTGTCAAATGAAAACGTAGCAGAAGTTCGTCATATATATTCGGATTTTTCTGGAATTGAAAAATACTTTGCAACTAGAAAGTTTTGAAATAAATTCATAAAAACAATTTGCTATATTCTTAAGAAATGTAAGTAACTAATTTTTAACAAATTTCCTGTGAAAGAAGAAAAAACTTGTAATGCTTTTAATATATCCTTACAGCACGTTTCGCCAGAATAAATTCAGGTATTTGGGGCACACACATTTCGTTTATTAGTGACAACCCATTTCAAAAGTTATAACCACTAGGTGCTTAAGTAAAGTTGTGAAAAGCATCTAAAAGAAGATGTCGGATTGGGACACAGTCACTGTACTTCGCAAGAAGGCGCCCAAAGGCAGTGCAGCCAAATCGGAGACGGTGGTTAATCATGCCAGACGACAAGGAGTACCCGTAGAAACAACACAAAAATGTAAGTTCATAACCATGATGAAGAGATACCTCTGTGGGGGTATTTAGTACACTTTGTTGTATTAAATACATTAATCGATATGTGCGGAGTGCAGTTCTACGAATAGTGCTAAATCTATAGAAAATGTGCTGAATATTTCATTCAAATATATATACTATATGTATATATTCGTGGTTATATTGACACATGTGTATTTGCATTTCATATATGTATGTAGGTACACACATGTAAATTGAATGCAACTTAATTGTATGTACCCGGCGTACTCAGTGTTATTGTTTTGATTTCTCTTCCAATCAATTTCACAATACAAGCACTTTAACTTAGATAGTTTCATCAACGTGCGCAATTTGCTAAGTAAAGTAATATAAAATACTTTGCCTGTTTACGTCATTTTTATCACAGATTTCATGTGTGTCATTTGCATAGCATATCATTGCCAAGAGAAGCAGTGGTTTCGCACCTTTTTATGTCATATGCTTATTTTTACACACGCTATTTTTATACTTTTATTTTATTTTTCGTCTTATACATTATAAATTACTATTATTCCTAGTAATATTTGATTTTAATATGTCAATTAATGAAATGAGAAGTGTGAACCTCTCAAGGTCAGTTTAATACACCATTTAATATTATATCAAATTAAAGCATACTTGGAAGTGAATGTGTTTACTGTACATATTTTTTATTAAAAAAAAAAGTAATAATTATAATAAAACTTTAATCAACACCATTATTCCGTTTTAGACGGTGCGGGCACCAATAAGCAACATGTAACCACAAAAAATACTGCCAAACTGGATCGTGAGACTGAAGAGCTTAAGCATGATAAAATTCCACTTGATGTTGGTAAGCTAATTATGCAAGGACGTCAAGGAAAAGGCCTCAGTCAAAAGGATTTGGCTACTGTAAGTTAAATGTTTCTTATAATTAAAATCTACCCGTTAACTATGTTTTATTTACAGAAAATCTGCGAAAAACAACAAGTCGTCACCGATTATGAAGCTGGCCGTGGCATTCCTAACAATCTAATTTTGGGCAAGATTGAACGTGTGATTGGCATAAAATTACGTGGAAAAGATCGCGGCCAACCGCTACAGCCTCCCGGTAAGAAATGAGTTGATACTGCGGCTGCAAGTGGCAACGCTAGTACTAGTAATTCAAAACCAAAAAAACAACATCCATAAAACACATTATGCAGTGGCAAACAAATATCGTTGCTAATGTGAATGCAAATGTATTGAATGCTACCAACGTTAATGCTTACACCACCAGCGGCAAACGCAAGTAAAGTTATCGGGAGGCTGAAAAGCTTTTCTTCCATTATATGGGAAGCGACACTATTGTGTTGGGGCACACATTTTTTTTATTTTCAAATTTCAAATTTCATGTAATCATCCAAACATACAAACATACAAAAAGAAAACTTTTTAATTTAATCTTTATTTTATTTGTGGATTTGAATCTAATATATTCTGCTTTCAGCGACAGCATAAATACACAAACCTGTAGCAACATTACAAACACGAAGTAAAGCAGAATACAGAATAGCAAAAAAGGAAACTTAAAAAATGATAATTGTAATGTAAAATAAGATTTAATTACATTAAAATTTTGTGCTAACATACATACATACTTGCGTATATATTGTAAAGAAAACAACAAAAACAATTCTTCAACAAATTAAAATTATGATAATGAAAATTTATAAACATAAAATTATAATATATCGATTTTTACATCAAACTTCAAACGTGCTCAAACATTTTATGTAGTTTACATAACTATGCTGGATACTAATAGAGTACACCCACAGGCACAACATATCCGTCTTTAAATACGGTATAATATTTCATGCTCTCGGTGAAATGATGAAATTTATTATTATTGATCTTGAGTGTTGTTAACAGAATATCATCAAGATCTTGGGACGATTTCTAAGAAATTCCGAAACAATATAATATTGTAGTTGTATGCAGTTTTTTGAAGTTTGCTTAATATACATTAATATATATGCTTATTTAAATTTCAAACTACTGGTTTTTTTATTTAATTTTTTTTCTGCTGATATTTTAGTGTTAGACACTAATGCAAAGGTATTGTCACTCGATATTTATTTTAAATTGTGAAGGAACGCTCGAAAAAAAAATTTGGTTACTTCAACAACAACAAAACTTATACATTTAACGTTTATAATGTTTTTTTTTTTTTATAAAATTAAAAATAGTTAGAGACATGAATAAAATTGAATTGAAGACAATTAACGAGAAATTTGTAAAGTTTTGTAATATAAATAACCGATATGGATATCAACATATCGAAAGTTCAAAATTTCGGTTTGAGTAAATTAGTTTTGTTGATATTAATTATCCACTACCATTTCACAACTAAAAATAATTTGCTTTTTTTTCTCATCAATTTTGGCATGTGTGTAATATTAGTAATCATGCATGCTATACACAAAAGAAATAGACTAAAAAACAATAACAATAACCAAAAAAAAAGAAAATAATAATAACAATAACAATAATGTCTGAATTCTTCCTTATATTGTTCGATGGTCAATATTAATTATTATTATTAATTTATTGGCGTACATATTTATGTGTATGTAGAGATTTAAATATGCGTATAAGCATACTCACGCAATGAGCAATATGCAATATATAAAACAATGGATGTTTTATGGTTTGAATTTAATAATAAAATTGAACGTAAAAGTACATATGTCGAATTGCTTTAATGAATTTTGGGTGCAATTTGGGAAAATTATGTACTTTGCAAGATAGTGGAAAAATGGGTAAGAGGTAAGACGCATTTCATGTTCATTAGCAACGCAGAGAAGTGTTGCATACCTTTAGGCGCTAAATTCCGGTGAGTGCTACGCGTTGGACGCAGTCGGTATGTTTTGGTCTTAAATGGATTGTAGCGAGTTGAAAAAGCATTTAAAAATAAAAATGACATAAAAAAGTTTTTCTTTTTTTGTATAGCTTTTATTTGAATTTTTTTATTTTAAATTTCGCACAGTCCAGCGAGAGTACGCTTAAGTTCAAGCAAAGAAATAATGTAATCAATCGAACATGCTAACAGGACTTACAACTTCAGCTTTATAATAAATAAAAAGGGCAGTTTTTAAATTTTTTGTTGTTGGTTTATTTATTACATAAATCCGTGTTACATAGTTCCATTTTCATTAAATAATTTTTTATTTATTCATTTAATATTTTAGTTCAAATATATGTATATCTTCATTTGTTCGCTTGTAAAAATAAGAAATAAAAATATTTGCGCTTTTTCCATATTTTTCTTTCTTTGTGTGTTGTCTATTTTTCACTGTTGCATTTAAATAGCTTACGAAAAATTGTAAGTATGTAGTGATTTACGTTTCTCTTTGTATACATTTTTCCTTCTATGCGGACTTATTACTCGGTTGGTTTGTTCTTTTGTTTATAAAGTTTGTATTTTAATTTTAATTTTTTTTTTTTTTTTTTTTATTTATTTTTTATTCTAATATAAATACACAATACTTCAACTTAAATAGTAAGCATATACATACATACATACATGTATCAAAAAGGATAATTTTATAAAATATTGTGACCCACCCACAATAACAGTAGTTAAATTATTTATTTATAATATTATATAATGTTAGAGAAAATAACTAAAAAAAATATAAAAAACAGATAGATTTTTGCAAAATAAGAACAAAAAAAAAAAAGCGAAAAAATTGTCTACGTAAGTGGCGCTTAAAGCGTTACACCGCTAAAATTATGAATTTATTTTTGAATTCTTAAAAAGTGTGTTTTAGCGTGCGCTAGCACAATTTTAGCACTTTAACAAAATAATTATTGTAATGAATTTAAAAAATGTAAGCCATTTTTTGATATTAAACAAATTTGTTTTTACATTTTTTTTTACAATAGTTCTTTAGGAATTAATAAACAATATTTAAAAAGCTTAGATATTTCTTCAATTTTTATTGCTTTAACACAACAGCATAGCGTTTTTAATATTATATAATATATTTGATTTACGCATTTGGCAACAGCATTTGTTTGCATACTTTCTTTAGTACTGTGTGCTTATTAATTTACCGAAATCTATCAACATTCCAACGTTTGAAAATTTATTACAAATATATATATATATAGCATATACGCTAAATGAACACTTGTGCTAAAAACACACTAATTTTTTGTCTTTTATTTCCAATTTCTTTCTAATTGTATGTGATGCTTTGGAGTTAATTATACATTATTTAGCATATTAATAATATTAAATACCGTTAATAATGTTCATAATTCCTTTTTTCTTTTTTCTTTAATGTTTGCTAAAGCTTTGTGCAAAATGAATACAATTGTTTTTGTTGCTATTGTGTTGCGTAGGTAACAGCCATATGCCGGTTTAAAATTAGAAATGCATATTTTGTTGTGCATGTTTGCTAAAATAATACACCAAGAGCCTATATAAATAATGTTTTAAATAAAAAAAAAGTGCAAACCTTTTCAATGCCTTTAATTAATTCATTTTTTGTTTAAAATAAAAAAATAAAAATATTTTACCTTTGGCGTATATAATAGTTAAATACAGCGAGGATAGACTACACTTTAAAAAGGCAGCAAATTATTATTATTTTTTTTCTCAAAAATGTGCAAAATAAAATTTCCCAGCATACATATGTGCATATACAGCAATAAAAGAAAATCTACATATTAATTTGTAATTGTAGCATACTAGAGCGCTTTTTTGAAATTTCTTAATCAATTTTTTTGAAATTCAAACATTTTTTAAGCTTTCCTTGCGTACTAGCGCTATATAAAATTGACTTTGTTTACAGATTTTATTTAATTTTTTTTTTCTATGCATTTTTATATATGTATATACATAGTTGTGTCTGCGCCAAATGGAATTTTGTGATATAAAAAAAATAATAAAAAATTAACAATATTTCAGTGGCCTGCGCGCTTGTTTTCCTTAAAAATTCAAGAAAATGTGCGTATGCACAGTTTAAAAGAGAGCGAGCGAGTGGACGTCCGTGGAGGTTATACACAGAGAGTTGTAACGCCCTATAAATACAATATAATATTCCATAACATACTAAATTTAAATTGCGCTTATTTGTATGTTTTTAAAACTAAGCAAATATGTTTTGTTTTTTGTTGTATTTTTTTTTCTGTGTGTCTTCACAGCTTCTTAACAAACATTTCTTTGTGTTTTTATTAAAAGTGCTAACATAAGTTTGCAGACTTAAATATTTTGTAGGATCTCTTTTATACATACATACATATATATATTCAAGTATTTTTGGCTGCATATATGTATAATATATATGTACCTGGTATGCATTTATAATTTTGGTTTTTTTTTCGTTTACTTTTTATTTCATCCTTAAAGTATGCAACACATGTATATAAGATACAAAATACCTAATGTAACTCGAGTAAAATTGATGGGTACACACGAATGGCTCACCAAAAAGATTTTTTATTGTTGTTGGTTTAATATATGTATTTTTTTTCATTTTTTGTTTCTTTTAAATGAGAGACCAAATGAAATTTACCAGTTTCAAGTTTTTCAAAAATGTTTTTCTTTTGTTTGTTTTTCTTTGTGTACACATACATACATATGTACATACGCTTTACAAATAGGCTTAAAAATATTCAAATTACGTTCATTATAAATTTCTTTTTTTTCTCTCAATTTTCTTTGTAATTAAACAACTTTTAGTTTTAAAATTTAATGAATACAACAAAGTAGTATGTATGTATAATATTTCCCACCATTAGGCCGTTCGCCTATTTATTTTGTAATTGCGCTGCTGCATCTCCCATAGTCTTACTCTTACTCAAGCCACCTCCACTGCCTACCGTTTAACGCATAAATAATTGTAAATTTTCTTTCATTAGTACTATGTTTGTATATTTACGCTTTGTAACCCACATGTGCTGTTAAAGAAATTATTTATATATGTATATACGGACACTACGGACTACTGACTTTTGACTTATCCATTGTTCTCGTACGCAAAACAAAAATACATTTCAAACCCGTTCACATTCATCAATCGGCACCTGCAAGAGCACAACCGCTTGCCCGCCCAACAAAAAAAAAAAAAGAAATAAAAAACAAAACAAAATAAAAAATAAAGAAGAAAGAAAAAGAAGTAAATGAAAATAAAGTGAAAATAGTACAACATAACATTTGCCATCACCCCACCCAACGTCTATACAGCGCTGCCGCTTACTGCACCTTCGACTTGTGTAGCGACGCAGCACCGTTAACAGCACTACCGTTCAGTGCACCCTTGCTGATGCTGCTCTCGGTTAATAGCGATTCACTGCTTGGCGATGACAATTTGGCGGTATTTTGCGCTGCCAACGAAGCGGCCATGCGACGACTCTTCTTACCGGCCGGCGATAAGTATGTCTTGTAGAAGAAGCGTGCAAAGAGCACAAAGTAACTGAAGTACATCGCAATCGACAGATTGATGTTGGTTTGTGAGATGTTGCACGATTGACGTCCGTGCGTCTTGAGGAAACCATTGGCCCACACATTAATCGCACAGCCGACAATCATTTGTGTCAACTGCAGCGATGTGATGATCATGGCAATGAAACGTGGTGGATTGAAACGCGCCGCTTTCAGCGCATAATAGGAGTACATCACAGAGTGTACACAATAGTTCATGACAATGAACCAACGCGCCGACGAAGTGTACTCTGTGTACGAGAACCAGGAGTAGATGAGCACAGTAATGTGGTGGTACCAGTGTAGGAAAATGAGTGGCTGTTTTCGCAATACAATGAAGATTGTATCGCCTAATTCGGGCAGTTTGGAGAGTACAAATAACCAGGTCCAGAAACCGCAAACGCGATCTTGTTCGATGTAGCTGCAAAGAGAGGGGGGAAATAAATACATTTTAGAAATCGTTTACTAATTCGCCTTTAAGAGAATTTTAATGTTAAGAAATGTCTTATGGCTAACTTACAACATATATTTACATATATATATACATAAAAAGAAAAATATAAATTAAAGTAAAAGGGCCAGAAACTGACGAGCGAAATTATGAATTTTAGGAAACGAGAGAAGAAAAAAATCCAAACCTGATTGTTAGGCATATTTGATAACAAATCTATAATAAAGGGTGTTTCAAAATAACACCAAGGCTTGAATTCGCCGTCATTTGTCCAAAATAGAAAAAGAAAAGAAAATCAAATTTAACAGCTGGAGCACCACTGATCTTCATTAATGAAGAATATCTTAAATTTTTATAATAAAATGAGAGGGTTATAGGGAGGTAATTAGCTTCGTAAGGTGTTCAGTGACTCATACATATATAACTGGCACTTTGTAACCAATTTTTGATATGCGTCTTGATATTTCTTCAACAAAATGAGCAATTGGTATCAAGAGCTTTTATTTCACATAAGAAACACACTTGAAGAGCTTGCGGAACGGCGACCGTAAATAAAAAAAATATCTATAATTTTGGATGTTGCTCGAACAAGGACTCGAGCCCTGGCCTTCAAAATGGCAGAACGCAAAGTTAACCACTCAGCTGCTATTGCGGGCGCCAGTGAATCATAATTAGTGCAAACACGAGGTTCCACTGTTATTAGGCAATTAGTCTTTGAGCTAACGCCAGTCAAGCAACAGCATAGGGAGTAATAAGTGATAAATGGGAAAACTAAAAAAAAATATCGTGCCGTTATAAAGTCCCTTACCAAGCAAAGAAAATCAGTTGCGGCCATAAAGAATGAGATGTCATTTAATTATGGCGACTTCTGTAAAGGAAAAAATCATGATGTACAAAAGGCATAGTCGACAAGGAGCATTGGGGTGGTCACGGGTGATCTTATTTTAAAATCTCTGTGTTCTTACTTAGGGCCTTTTGGTCCTTTATCCTTCTAGTTACCAGCTATTGTATATAAATAAACATTTAGATAAATCAATTTATAAACGAGTTTCCGTTTCAGTCTTTTTTATGAGCGATCCTTACTTTTGATATTGAAATCCAAAAACATTTTAAATACTAAAAATCGAGAGACATAACAGTATTGCAGACATTCCAGAAAGCTCCGACCGTTTGTCGAATCTGTCGTAGAGGAGACTTTTCAGGCAACTCAATCGAAATTTCTCTGCTGCAAATAAATTTGTCGTTTCGAAATCCATTTGGTAATCGACAAAACCTGACTTATGCGTTTTCTTCTTCTCAGCGTAACAAATTTAAGTGAATAATTCTTAATTCTAGGTAAAAATGGATATATACAAAGTGTTGAATTTCAGACAAATTCGCGAAATTCGGTGCGAAAAGGTATACAAAATCTTGGTTGAGTGGAAAAATAATATAAAAGGAATCAACAACAATCGCAGAAGCGATCTTAGATCAAAGCTAAAGTGAAAAGTCGCTAACGCATACTAATTGTACGTGCAATTAGAGTCATAAAGGATTCAAGAATAATAAAAAATAAAAATAAAAAAAAAACAATAGAAATGGTGTGATGAATAACCAATTTGAGCTGGGCAAAAAATTAACAAACATTCAACATATGTATGTATGTGCATACATACATATATTTTCAGCAACGATAGTTCATTAAACCAAGTGGTAAGAGACCAAATGGAAAACACTAAAAACAAATGCGGTTAATGCGCCTAACTTCAGCTTGAAATCAACAACCAACACGATGTGAGCTGGCTAAAGAAGCTTCTGCGTATGCAAATTTTGTACATTTCCAGGGAGTAATTCATAAATTCTGTAAAAGCAAAAAACCGGTCATAAGTAAGAAACACAAATGTGCAACCAAATAAAGAAGTGTTAAAGCGAAAACAAAATGTAAACAAAAGAAAATCAAAAACATTACGACAGAAAAGTTGAAAAACTAGTTTACGAATTAGGAAACTCACGGCTTAACTGAGTTGACAGGCGGCAGGTAGCAGGCAGATAGCAGGCTCGTCTTGACTTGTTGGAAGCTGTAACAGTAAACTGTGCGCGCGCAAATCTGCGTCATCATGAACAAACTCAAGGTCATGCACAACTGCCATGGCCAGGCGAATGGTGTAAGCACACATATGTATATATATACACTTGAGCAAGAACGTCTGTCGACGCGCAACTGTTTTATTGTCATTTTTTTTTTATTGACTACAAATTGAAGGCGACCGACCGATACCGACCGATCATTCATTGCCAAGGATGAATTGCGAAAATTTTCCAACAGCTTAAAAAGCGACTTAACAAGCTCAGCGCAAAAAAAACAAACAAACAAACAAATAAGAAACTTAACAGGCACTAAATAAAGACAGGATACCAAGCCAACTGCGCAACAACAGAAAAGTGAAAGGTTGAACGCAAAAAAAAAAAAAAAAATGAAATAAAAGAACAAAAAAAAAAAACAATGAATAGTTTTGAAATTAAATTATATTGCCACTTACCTAGGAACGCAAACGGAATGGAAAAGTCCATAATGACGCAGCACATGCAAAAGCTCTGGTGCCGTTCGAAATGCGCCCATAATACTGAACATGGCGAGCATTGTATTCCAGATAATTAATGGACCGCGCAGTTGGAATCTGAAATGAGGCAATAGTAAAGGAAGCAGTTTTAAATATAAGCATTAAAATTTTATGGATAATTTATATAAAAAAAACTTAATTCTTTACAATTTATGTTTTTAAATATAAATGGATTTAAAAATATAGGGATATTAAAAATATCTATTTTGCTATAAATTTCTTTTTCTACAAATTTTTTTACATTTTTTTATTTTTATACCTTTCATTTGCATGAAATAGTATATTGAGGTAGTATGCAAGCACCGGAATGAGATCCAGCAAAATTGTACACAGATAGACAGGTTGAGTTAATTTAGCCATGAGCGTGAGCTCGCCTGAAGCACTGTTTGTACGCAAACTAGTCGCTCAGTTTTTGAGAACGAGAGTTTTGTTGAACTACTTGGCATACAGATATATTCTTATATCATATTTATCCGATCATTTGTCGGAATTGGCCGGATTGCTTCACTATAAGATACATATATACGACTGATTTTTCAGCTTTAAGATTTGTGGTCATAAATCTGTTCAAATAGCATCTAAGAGCATGCCATTTGATATTATACACACAAATGTTTAATACTACTGAAAATCATCGAAATCATAGTTGTCCGATTTCGATTACATATACTAGCTCCTGTACAACGATCTCCTCAGAAACGAGACTTCGGTCGAAACTCCGTCAAAAAACATCTAGGAGCGTGACTATAAATATTGCAAAAAATAAATAATAATTTCTGTGTAAAAATTATTTTAAATTGTATATTTGGCAACACTGCGGCTGAGAAATTCAATTTACATATTTGCCAAAGAGTGATTTTTGTAAGCAAAATTCAAGTTTCGTTTTCTTTTATCATTGGTCACCCTGTGCCAATATTTGGTAAAAAATTAAAATTTGTATAGAAATAATGGTTTTGAAATATGTACCTGTATTAATTTTCAGTTTAGTAAAATATTGACTTTTTAATAACCCAAAAGGCAAATAAGACCGGAAATAACTAAATTCCCTTGTGGGTATGCATTTGTTAATTTCACTCCATAAATTACCGTACGCATTTACATATAAAATGAGAGTGCGTGCATTTGAAAATAGTGTGGGAGATTTTATTGAAAAAGCAATAGGTATACAAAATTAAACTGACATTAAAAACTAAAAATATCAAAAAAAAAAAAAAAAAAAAAAGAATTGATACAGAAATGCAAGAGAAATAGAAAAACAATTTGATGAAAAAATCAATATTAAATCGATAAAGTAATAACAATGAAATTATTTATTTGAAAGCAAGTAAATATATATATATATATATATATATATATATATTGGATGAGTGCATTAGTTCGTGCCCGATTCCGCTGGATGCCGTTCGAATCGTTTGAGAATGGCGCTCGTGAAAGAAATATATACATATTATATATCGTTGGAAAGGTGGCAGTCCGAACTGTAAATCAAGCATAAAATAACTTCATTTTGATTTGAGTTGCTTAGTGAAAAGAAGCATGGAAGATGGACAACGAAAAAGATCATATGCGTCATATTATGTTATACGAATTCCGCAAAGGAAAAACAGTAGGCACTGCAACTAAAGATATTCGCGAAGTTTATTTGGACCGTGCTCCAGCACTCCGCACAGCAAAGAAATAGTTCGCGAAATTTCGTTCTGGAGATTTTAACCTCGAAGATCAACCTCGCAGTGGACGGTCTTCTGAGCTTGATGACGATGTTCTAAAGACTTTAGTTGCGAATAACTCACGTATTTCGACGGAAGAGGTTGCCAGTGAATTGAACGTCAACAAATCAACTGCGTTTCGTCGTTTAAAAAAGGTTGGGTACACTTTGGAGCTCGATACATGGGTGCCACATCAGTTGAGTGAAAAAAACAAAGTGGACCGTATGTCAACAGCAATTTCTTTGCTTCGACGGATCAAAAACGAACCTTTTTTGGATCGGCTCGTGACTGGTGATGAAAAATGGATCCTGTACAACAATGTTCAACGCAAAAGAACATGGAAACAGGCACACGAAGGGGCGGAACCGATGTCGAAAGGTGGATTGCATCCGATGAAGGTACTGCTGTGCATTTGGGGGGATATCCGAGGCTTGATCTATTTTGAGCTCTTGCCAGCTGGAGAAACGATCACTGCCAACAAGTATTGTCAGCAATTGGTTCAAAAAATTTCAATTTTAGTTTGCACTTGAAATCGGGCACGAACTTATGCACTCATCAATATATATATATATATATATATTATATATTTGTAAATAATAAATATAAAAAAAAAAATTGTGCAAAAATTGACGACACGGAAATAGGCTGCAACAGTTTAAATAAAACCAAATTATAAGGAAAAAATATTGCCAAAAAATCACAACCATAAAAAGTTGCAAATTATTTTTTTTAATTCGAAAACGTATAGATACGAGGGTTGTCTTTCACATTACGCAATTGGAAAACAAAAACAAATATTTATAATTGATAATCTTCATTTTTTTTTCTTCATTAAAATCTTTACACTTTTGCATTGTCGTAGAACTTTTGCCATTCTAGTTTCATATCTCCAAAACATGCACTCTCTAGGCATCAATCCCCTCTTCAGGTATCGAAAACGGTTGACCTCGCAGTTTATTTTTAACATATGGATGTGCATAGAAAGAAGTCATTCGGTGCCAAGTCAGGATTATATGGCTGATGATTCATCAAAATCGATGTTTTAAATGCTCAAAAATACAGTTGCTTCAATTGGACGAGTAATCCGCCTTCAGCTGTTGGTGTCCTGACTTCTTGAAAGAGAACTAGCAAACAAATGCCAGCGGTTGTGTACCCCTTAGAACGCAGTACCTCTTCGTTGTTTTAGTGTTTCGGTTGCTACATGTCTAGAGATTCTAATACAAAAAGGAAAAAACAAAGCAAAAAAACTCGGAACAATTTGCACAACAAAGTGCGGATCTCTTTTTATCATCCTTAAATACCCAAAATTCCCTGTCACGCTGCTGTCATGGACATGTTTCCAAGAACTGATGACGTATTTTTCGCTCAATTAATCGACACGAGCGTTTTTTCCAGCAACTGAAAAATTGTGTGGGATCCAAATTTGTTGCATTCAAATGTTCATGGAATATTGGATGCGTTAAGTTCTCTCCATCTCACTATAGATCACATGACGACTATCAGGTTGCTCACGGCATCAATGGATTTTGAAACAACAAATGATTTTCGATGACGTTCACGAAATTCCTGTTGCCAGATCGCAACAATGGAGTGGTCTAATCACGAAATATAAAAGGCAACCCTCGTGCACATTTTCATATAAATATACGTACATATGTACATATATGAATTTTTGTGTGTACAATATGAAGTCACCGGCCGTATTTTTATAATCAATAACAACATTTTTATGACAAAAAATATGTGTAGGTATGCGAGTCATGTAAAAAGTTCAATACAAAAAAGAGAGAGAGAGAGAGACAGTGTAAGATCTTAAAATGAAAACAGTATGAGTACATATATGGATATTTTGGCAATTTTTTTAACTTAATTGAAATATAAATAAAATGTACATATTCCAAAATAAAATTTAAATAAAAAAAATTGCATGAATAAAACAATTCACAAAATGATTTATACTCACAAAAAATATAATCACAATTTTATATAAATATAAAAAAATTGCAAAAACAAATAATACAACTAATTTGAAATATTAAAAAAAAAACAATTAAAAGTATACATAGAGCTTTTGCTCAATTAATTCACGCCAATTCAACGTTAATAAAATTTCAAATTTTATAGCATGAAATTTAATTACGTAATAATATACTTGCACGTATATACTAATAGAACTTAGTACGAGTATGCAATAAAGCAACATTCATAAGTCTTTTCTTATCTATTTGCAATAAAAAAAAGGAAACTAAAAAAGTTTTGCCGATTTAATTGCCGGTTGATGAAAATAATATCTACCTGCAAAATTATTCAGCTCAATTAAAACTATATTAACAGTGTTACGATCGAAATTTTCCTATACGCGGGTGTTATGTATGATTTTTTATTAGTAATTTTGTTGAAACATTTCAATTCAGGTCAGACATGGCACCTTTAAGCAACAAATTAATTGAATTGTAAGCTTAGCTTAAGCATAGGAATTAGAACTATTTTATAACATTGACTTGCGCTTGTAGCCGCTGAAGCGATTTTTCGGCTGAGTTCCTCCTGCAATTTCTGGTTTTGCGTCTTGATATTTTTCCAACAAATGGAGAGACCAACAGTTTATATTAAGACGCCACCGAACGGCTGCTGAATATACTCGGATTAGAAAAATTAACGTAATTTTTTATATGAATTAATTTTCTATAAATATTGGAGATAGGTCGGACCATGGCTCTAATGGCAGTACATACTGCTAATCACTGGGATATCGCGGCTGCGAATTTGCTACCTTAATAGAATGTCGCATCCCAAATTTTAGTTATTTCAGCAATAATTCAAACTCAACCACAGAAAAATTGTCGGCCGAACTTCATGTCTAATTATGGTTTCAAGTCGCCTCTGAAAGGCTAATGAATTTGATTTCGAGGATAGATTGAAATTCCCTGCCGAAGAACGACCGAACTAAAACCAAACTCTCTATAATTTAGGATGAAACTCACGACCTTCCATTCTGCTTTGCAGGCCGCAATGGCCAACCACTCGGCTAGAGTTGCCATTAGAAAAATAAATAAATGGAAATAATGATTCACACAGATTGATATCCATGAACATCCTACTAATGCTGCCAAATGCCTTAGATGATTTCAATTTAACTCCAAATCGACGTTCTCAAATACGAACCCATATATTATTCGATTATTTTTTATAATTTCAAAAAATTCAACTAAGCATCTGTGACTAAAAATACCATATTAGATGGCAAGTTATAAGAAATCTTTAGAAAATACACCTAGTCATAAATCTATTGGCTACACACCTCATTTAAGTTTTTCAGAAGCTTCAACTTAATAGCCTTAGATAAGGTTGGTA